TATAAATCCTTATTGATACTTCAAAAATTATTTTCTTCCTAATGTGTTACAACTTTATTATTTTATAAGGAAATGTTTTACTACTACTGTGAACATCAAAATTGTACTTAGATTAAATTGATGAATATCGTGAATTTTCCTTTATTGGATCTATTTCATTTATGGTATTGATAATATTCATTTTATTTACTTACATTATTTTTTAAATAATCTACTTTATAATTGACAGTTAAACAAATCTCAGGAGAACAACAAACAAATTCTCCTTGCAATATTGCACCAACTAATTCATTTAAATCCAATAATTTTGATTCATCATCATCTTCACATATTGCACCTATCAAAGAACCAATGGATACTTCATACTTAAAAACAAATTCTTCATCATCATCATCGGCTGTGATAGAACTAGTAGAACAGCTGATGAAACAATTCTCAGGAGCTGAAGTTGACACACATGAATATACTTATCTTAGATGTATGGTTATACTTAGCTCCGGTAGGTAAAATGATATTATTTATTTTAAAATGTCACATTGTTTTTTTTTCTTCACATATTTTATTACCGTTAAATAGAGTTGAACTAGTTATATATTACGTCATATTCATTTAAAATGATATCTGTTGTTAAACGGTAGGTAAAATAGTGTAACTTTTCTTTAGCAATTGATTCAAAGGAAACCGTTTTTTTCTTCTTTACATGAAATCGTACATTAATTCTCCATTGAGCTGAATGTTGAGGACTAACTACTGATTAATTATTGACTCATATATTGATATAAGACTACATTGATTAATTTTGGGAATGATTTTCTTTTAGTTCATATATATCTATTGATTATCAATATTATTTATAGACTTTTTTTGATCATAACTTCAGTTTATTCAAGTTCTAATGAGTATAGAATTAGATTTGAGATATTATTCTACTTTCGTATTCATTAGTTTATTGGATATAAATCTACTTATCCATGATCATTTCAAACTAATCTTATTCAACAATAGGAATTTATAGACATTGTATAACTTTTAATAAAGTCTCATTTTTCTATTTATTTTCAAGGTCGTTTATGCATTAATGCAAGAGATGCTAGTTTAGCTAAACAAATTACTGAAATGGAATCACGTGTATTAAGCGAATTTTCTGAATTCTTGTCTACGCGTGCAGCATCTTCTACAACTACTGGTTCACTTTCATCGAAAAGAACAAAACCTATTATTAAAAGAGTTCTTATACTGACACAATTATTATCTACACTGCGCTACTTAGATCCAAAAGATTTAGAAGAAGCATTTTTCTCAAGTGAGTTTTTTTTTATTCTGTTGGTGATTTTCTTCTTAAAACTGCACTATATATCTATTTGATGTTTGGATGGATGGTAATAAACGAAATTGCAAGTGTTCAATTTCTCCTGAACCAGTTTAAAGAAGTGTATATGTTGTTAAACCATATAATGCATCAGTGTATATGAAATTACTCTCAATACTCTAAAACTGTGAATATATTTTTCTTTGTTAAAAATAATCTCTCCTGGCCAGTAGTTTATTAACTAATGACAGTCTCCACATTATAATCAAAGTAACTTTTAGGTAGAGATCGGCTTACCTAGTTGTTTTTTTAGGGGTTGCCCTGATAATATTTTCCTAGTTTATTTTTCCGCTATAACATTTACTGTTGCTTGGTTATCATCACCCTTAGTTTACTTTATCAAGTGCCCGAAGACCATTGCTGGTTACTATAAAAACAGAGTTGTCCCCCTGCGAATTTCACTTCTGTAATGAATATAAAGTTACCGTGAATGTTCTGTTTTGCCTATTAGCGTGTTTATTAACGTTGAACTGTGCAGATATCCAGCCCATTCTAGTTTCTATACCCTGAGTCGTAATATTAAAAGAATCCTCAATCGTTCCCAAACGAAATTTACCGCATGCTGACCGGAAACCTTAATCGTTATCGTGGACACGTGGCAGTAACTAAGCAGCTCCTATATGATTCTGTTTAATGTTCATATCCTTTATCAAATGACAACGGAAGTAAAAAATGCCCAACTAGTTTGTGACTCCACGGTATGTGGATATGATCGAACTTGTAGGTAAAATCTTTTGTTTGTTCGAGATGTGTACATCAATGATGATGTACCAATGCGAGGGAGGATATGTATATAAAATCCTATTTATTATGTATAATTTAGATATCCTTGGATTTAGATTGTCGCTGCAACAATCCGTATTCCAAAATCAAGTAGGAAGCTGTTTAGTCAAGTTCACAGTTAGAATTCGGTTAATATGATATTCCCTGATATCCAATAGGAGTAACTGCAAACATTTCGGTTCTAAATAAATTTCCATCATCTAACAAACTAACCGCAACTGTTAAACAATCTTATTTGAGAAGGATTTGGCAAACAAAGTGAATTAAGTTGAACGTTAGTATGTGGATAACGAGTTCCAAAGGCACTCTACTAGATTATTTCAAGGTCATCCACATACTAATCACGGTAAACCTACTCAACACGGAGTCAATAGTTTATACAAATATTAGCAGACTTAGTTCCATGGGGTAGTAGTTATCCATAACTTATTATCAAATGCAATTAATATGCACCGATTAACATATTAAAGTATGCTTTGTTTCATGTAATTACAAAATAAACTCTCAAACTTTCCTTTTTTTACTGCTAGATTTACTTGGTTCTGTATCGATTGCTCAGATCCTCCCATACTTACTGGAATCAAATGACTTATTTACTCAAAGTCAATTAGTAATGAATTCATGCCTGCCGGATAATTCTCTGGATTATAAGCCCGGTTTAAATCATGTCAAACATCCTAACAAACAAGCTTCGAGGTCTGGTTTGGAAGATAGTGTGACAAATTTTACCGGGGATTCTCTCCCTAACAACATGACGGAGAAAACTGACAATCCTTCCTCTTCGTTGTTAATCCGCCCTGACCAGACGTCTCCACAGAGCAGATCAGCTTCTTGTGAGATTACAGTCACGAACATTGAACTTAACAATCAAAACACAGAACCAGTAAATAGTATATCATTTGCGAACGACGAAACTAATGACTTAGCCTAGGAATCGATGTTAGGATACATAATATTTAATCATAGATGAAATAGTTTCCCTCCTATAACGTCTTTCTTATCAAACCGCATCAAATTTGAAAGGACTGAGAAGATAAAGCGCCTTCTTGCTTTCAGCGCCATTCCGTTCAAAAGATTACTGCTTATTAAGTTCTATGCTGAAAACAAATATTTGAAGTGGTTTTACATGACATAAAAATAGATAATTATAATACTTAACAAAATATGCACTAGCGATTACTTGTGCCCATATAAAAAGGGTGGTTTCAACGTTTATTTCCTTCTCAAGATCTTTTCATTCAGTAATTATAAAAAAGACGACATTTGTACATTTTTCTAAATTCTTCACTTACAGACAGAATGAGGGTTGTAGTTACTAATTTACACTTTCCAATTTATACACATTATATATTCAGTCTTTAATGATATACAGCTACCTCATCTCTCTGTACACCAGGTTTAATACGTATTCGTTATTCTTGTTTCATGTTGTTGATGATGCAAAACATACAAATTGGAAGATCCTCTTAATCATTCCTATAATTTACCTATATATATATACTCACCTATAAATATGTATACATGAGCCTACTTTTTACAGCTTTTAATTTTTTGTCCCGTTTAATGATTTCAGATTATTTATATCGTAAACAAAAATTATAAATTTGGCAAACTTTTTTATTATCTATACATTTGTTGTCTTGCTTAAATAATTTTACTATCTACTGATAATGATTTAAACTGTTATAATTTCAAACTACTGATATGATTTCTATTCACTCGATTATTGTGTATTAATTGAACATTGAGAGTAAAGACAATAATGATAATTGTTATCGACGGACGAAGAGCGCCATCTCTTGATTTTGTGATTTGAATCTAACTCAACTAATTTATTTATGGGTGAACAAATATTACATAGATACACTAATGAGTGGTTCAGGAACTCGGGGTACTCTTATACTTCGGTTGCTTTCACCTTTTACTATTTTCTTTGCCTACGAAAATCCATAATGTATTTAACTAATGTTGTGTGATATCTTGAATATGGAATTAACATTTTACTTCTCTTCCTATCTTGTTTTTGTTTTGTGCCTGTACTCCAAATGTAGATGTGTTAATAACCGTGATTTAAATATTAAAATAATATTGTAAGTCTATGCTTGTCTCTCTCCATTTTTATTTATTTATTTTAACACATAGATATTGGTACAAGGAGGCACCAAATACATATGCCACACATCTCGTTCGACATATGTGGGGGCTGTGATACTACCCGGGTACCCAAACCTAAGCAGCTGGTTTCCCTAGGGGGCCACACCCCGAGCTTTCGACCCGAAGGTCTGGTCCACAAGGCAGTGGAGCATCGTAAGGAGATGCAGTCCCATGGTAGCCGGTGACCAATAATTGGTTCATGCGCCATTTGTTCCCGCAGGAAACTGGAGCCCATGTGCACCATTGGTTTGGAATCCGGTTAAAGCGCCGGACATTCGCTTTTCGTCCTCTCAATTTCGTAAACAACACCCCTACCAAGAGAAGGCAGTGAGTAGGACTTCCCTGTCAGAGGCTATATACGCGTGGCCGTGTGAGAGCATTTCGAGAGCGAGGATGGGCTCACCCCACTCCTGGTCGTACCAGGGCATTTGGGGGCCATATATATATATATATATATATATATATATATATATATATATATATATATATATATATATATATATATATATATATATATATATAATTCAAACTATTATGTGGACGCAAATTCGAAGTTCTAGGTTCCCATAGATATTCTAACATGTTGTGAAAGGAACTTCAGCTAGACTGTAGATGCCTTTTGCTATTAGTGCACTTACTTTTTTGACGCACACAATTATCTTTCGTAAACAGATATAAAGCAAAACACAAGATGTTATCGTAAGTAATCTTTCAAACAATTAACGAGTACGATAGCAATCTACATAATTAGTACAATTTGACACAGTTTATTGGTTAGGAATTACATGTTAAGGGCTTCACTTGTCGGCTAAGCTTCGTAGACCAATCACTCTAATTTAGAAAGGATTTTACAAAAATGGTAAATATTATGCATATGTAAATGGAATAGTTGGCTTTAATGCGCTAAGTAGTTAGCTCGTTTATTGAAATAGTATTGAACACCTGAAAATATTAGCAGGACGACGTAGATCCCAGCAGCTATAAAACAGTTATTTGACACCATTACATAAGCTTCCTCTACATGTAAGGGAGCATAGCCACTAGCAGCCCAAGCTGTTTCATTTAGTGGTATATCTTCAGAGAATGCGACTGAGTTTACGCGTGCAAAAACACCCATAAGAAGCTGTAAACAAAACAATCAGACAAGATAGGGTTAGAACTACCGACTAATAGAAAATCTATATAAAGTCCTGATACTAGTAAATGACCATAAATTATTCCAATGCATTAGAACATTATAAGGCAGAATAATGGTTATATCTGACTGCAGGAAAAATAAAGTATTCAATAAAAAGATGACGGTATTAGCAGTACACACACTTAAGGTACTAAAATATCTAACTTTTAAAATCTCAACCAAAAATAAATCTGCTTTTTTGAGGCTTCCACCACTATGAAATAAAGTGCTGGGAAGTTAAGCTTTCTCATTGTATAGAAGCAGGTATTATATCCTGGTCACAAGGCATGGTAGTAAAATTTTAGTGACCCAACAGATTTATATCTAAAGTTTGATGTGAGAGCTTTACATTGTGTTTACCTTTCCTGTGGACAAGTGATAACGGTGGATTTGTGATACAAATTGCTCGACGCTTGGGACAAAATGCAACGATAATTATGCTTTTAAGCTTGTCTAATTCACGCTCCTTTTATTTTACTGATAACGTTGAGTGATGACTACGTATAATTTCTCATCTACCCATAGAGTAAAGCACAAACTATAAATACTCCATTGATTAGATAAAGAAATATTTTACGAAGTTCCAGAAGTAATATGTCTGATCAGAGCTTGTAGTGTGGGCTATGTATGACTGCGACAACGTCAGTGGTTTTAGCATGGTCACTGGATTGTATGTCTACTTACATAATAAGGACACTCAGCACTTACCTATTGAAATTTTTAGTTACATGTTTCAATGGCAAAGTAGAGAGTATCTTAGTGGTTAGAACACTTGAGTTTCAACTACTGGACAGTGGTTTGGATGTCGTTTTAGCTATTTCGATCTGGAAAGTCAGACAATATCACTATTTTTAAGAGTGCAGTTAAAACAGTATGTAAATCTAATTGTCTATGGTGTTCATCTATATTAGTTTACCAAGAAAAGGTATAACGAGTAACTTACTGAAGACTTTAACAAGATCCAAATCGTCAATGGACACAGCTTCTTTATTAGTCGTGCCCATGTTCTGACAAATTTTGAGTATCAATAGTTTGAAAAGTTTGTTAATATCCACTAGTTTTATACAGGTCGTTTTTCTAACAAATCGTAACAATAAATTACATTATTTCAATAAGACCGCTTAAGCAGACTTTAGAAATACACTTTCAGTAACCTCATTTTACAATGGAATGCTCCTTTAAGTCAGTCAGTTATCTAAAACGTAAGACCAAGCACATATATGCATTGGCCCAAATCGGCATACCTCATTGGCACAAGATGAACATTAAATCCATAGAAGCAGTTACTTTAATGGTTATGATATATGGAAAAAGACTGCATATAAGGACATGATATAGGGAGAGAGAATTGGTTCATAGAAGGAAAGGTAAACAAGTAAATTTAATCTCGCAGTTTTAAACGTAAACACATGAATTAGATGGAATTTTGTAACAGGTTTATTACTTAGAATAAGAATCCCTTATGAATAATCAGGTACATGTCCTCAGACGAATGCGTCACAAAATTCCAAACCACATGGTGAATCTTACGGGACCTATGTGCTAAGTACTACACGCGGTGCATGGCTACATTTGAATTTTGTATATCCATGTCGGAAATATACCGTGCATTGACAATTTGAGATACTAGGGATTAAAGGATATGGTTCAGAAGACACAACGTGCAACTAAGTATCCTGTTCTAGTGCGTTAGAACTATTGCGGATGCCTGTATTGTTCGTACATGTAACTGCATCAGAAGCCCAAGATACTGTAGGTGTGGTTTTAGTCACGAGGATTTTTGAGGAAAAGAAAATATGCACAGGTAAGGGTGGTGGTAATCAATAAAGATCACACAGAAAACTAGCCAACTCAAAGAACTTAAGGAATCCAGGTTATGGGCTGAGAAGTAATATAAAACTAAAACCTTGTCGTTTGTAAAGAGGGAAATATTCCCCACTTACGGGATATAGTTATGTACGAACTCAAAAATCGATAAATCGAGGTACTGTATTTTGTATATTCGGTTTTTGATAATGAAATTAAACAAGTTACACTTCACATGAATGGATAGATTGTTGAAATATCACTTAACTTAAGAATAAAACGCCCGTTTGTTGAGCTCCAGCATTTGCAACAAAATGTAGACATCATGAAGATTTTTAGGTTTATATAGTTCACTTAAACTTTTAGACTGACAGTAGGATTATCGTGAATTAAAGAACTGAAAACTAAAATCACCGGCTTTTTCCTCAGTTTCCATATAGAAACGAATTTGACAAAAAGGTGACTCTTGGCCCATCTTATTTAACAGGTTTTAAAATGGAGAACATTAAAGTATGTGATTATAACTGATTCGTGCCAACCATTATAAATTACAGCCAATTCATTACAAATGAACACCCACTTAAAACAAGGAAGAAGATAATATCGAAAGTAATGATGGATACTAGATTGGGTTCAGAAGTCTGAAAAACATCTACAAGTCTCTGATAAATGGTTTTGGATTTAGTTACTTACGCCCGTGTAACTTGTCATCACCTTAAAATACATTTTCATGAAAATTCGCTGATTTTTCAACATAAAAATGTAACATGCAGTAAAGTCTGGAGGGAAGATATTAAGCAGACGAACTGGAACATCCATTATTCATTGAATTGTTTCATCTTTGTATGTGAAGGAATCTAAGATACCGGACTGCATGATGAACAGTCAAACAAATCTTATCAAGTAAATATCGAGTTTAATTTAAAGAAACTATCCGATAGTTGAGAAATGAGATGGCTGGAAAAAAAACTAGTTCTTCTACATAACGATTCACTGGACGAGTTGGTTTTTTTTAAAGGAGAATGAGGACTTCTGCAAACCTAAGATATAAGTTAAGTACATTAAATATACCTTCTGAGTTGCTAGAAGTGCGTAGATATAACATTCACATTTGATATAATCCTAAACAGTTATTGTACAGTTACAAACGTTTGCACTTTCAGCAACCCATACTTAGCCCAGAAATTAGGTAACGGTGGCCAGCTTACGAATCTTAATGAGAACAAGTGGTATTTGTACTGACTGATAATTCCTTTGTACTTGATGGTACGCTTAAGAGTATTGTGTTTGGAATTCATAATCATTATTACGAATTCCAAATCAATCGAGATCATTTAATTTCACACACCTTAAATTACACTATTTAGGGAATTCTTAGTTAGAAAATCAGTTTAAGGACTCCTAATTATTATAGAATATTCTCCTAAATTTACTTGATGAAAGTAATTATAATTTGTCAGCAGTTAAGGCGAGATAGTTCATTCCAGAGTTCACATCTGGATATGACAAATCTTTGCTACTTAGTTTAATTAATTTTTCAAGACTTACGAGCATCAATATCCCCCAAACGCTGAGAAGAAGAAGGACTACCGAGCACTTCGGCCCTACGAGCGCCATTTTTATACTTGCGCGCCTGTTCTCTAATCCTTAAACTGCCTCAATCCAAATAGTGACTTGATTATACCTTTTGATACGTATATGGGTTGTCCAGTACTATACTTGATTGTGAAACGGAAGAATTTGGATAGAATCAATGTTCGCTGTCAAATGGTCAATATCAAGCGTTTCTTGTCCACTTAGCGAGTTGATGCTGGATATGGGAAGAAAATTTTCACTTCTGGTTTCATTCTCATTTTTACACTTGGTAGATTATTTATTCTAGGAATTTGCAATGGGCTACCGTGTACCATCCGTTGAAGACAAGTGTAAATAGCCTTAGATGATTGAAATGAAACTTCCATTGAAAACCGAAATATTATTTGCAGTACTGACCCTGTAGTTGAACAGGAAGCTGTTCTAAAATTCTTGTAGGGTCAGTGAAATGTCACTGTGAGCAATCCAAATCATACGACATTCTGGTCACTGAATGTGAGAGGGTTCACTGATACTCGTCAAGGTCAAGGACAACCAACGCGCATCAGTTAATGGACGGCACATGCAGCAGTGATCGCCTTCTGCTCCTTGTACCTACTATGTAATAACGTCGTTTGTGTTGTACGATCATCAAGATAGCCATTGCACCTGGATACTACGAAAGGTTGATCCGTGTTAGGTACTTAGCACGAGGTATGACCACCATGTTATCTGGTTGTTCTCACCATTACCATTTAACTCGGCTAGGCCCCTAAGTTTTCGATACAAATCATCTACACTCTAGATACTACACGCTTATAGAATAGTGAAAAGGGATAATCATCCTCGCATCAACTCAAGTTGAGTGATTAAAAGTATCCTAAAAACATCTTGGCAATGTCAAATAATTACGGCTCAAATATTTATTTCCTTCCTTATTTTGCGCTGGCATTACATTTCCTACCATCCCATACTGAACTTTGAGATCTTTTAACGTGGTTGAAATCATAACTTCGCGCTCTAATTGTACTGTTCCGCGATCTGAGAAAAACTTACTACAGCAATCAGTTAGGATTATTTGGAATGGAAAAACGAAGGGTAACTTCCAATACCAAATTGGTGAGCCCTGTTTTCAATGCAAGAAGCTTCTGTTTTACTTATTTTTCGTTTGGTCATAAAACGAAACTTGATATATCAGTAAACTTATCGTGAACATAAGTTTCATATAGTATATATATATATATAGAACATTATCCTCGTCGGAGTCATTTTTTCACTCCGTTTACATTATATTCATACATTTGTCACTTAATACATGTCAGACTGAATAAAGAGTGTAAGCCTGTAAGATAAGTACGAGTTATCACTTGAAGAACTAGACAATCCTTGGAATAAGAAAGTAATTGGTTTTGAACTGCTCTGTGCTCAATCAGAGAATTATTTTCACGAAACACTATATCTGACGTAACTTGCTATCCTCTCTCCTTCAGTTACCAAAGAAGTTTGCAACTTAATTTTGATTCCTCTAACCATGCGTCCTTTTAAGACTTGAGACAATGAACCATCTGTTGTCGTCAGACGGCCAAATAATTCAAAGGCTCTATCAGGGAGAAACATCAGGTAATAGGTCACCACCATCAGTTGTAGTGGCTAGGCTTCGGGATAATTCTTCAGGCTTCGTTTATCAATCACACTGATAACCGTTGTTAAATAAATCTCAACTGTGTATGGATTCAAAAGGCTAATACAAAGGTTCGACTATAGTTTATTAATAGATAGCGTGGATAACAAAGTTAGATGCACATCAAGCGAATTTGAATAGGAAGTCTAATGCATGCGAGCAAGTGAACACAGAAGTGGATTCAGAGTCAAGAAATGCCTTATGCACAAAGGTATATAGATGATTTGTTAATCGGCAGTTCGGATCTAAAATTTCATAAATAACACGAAGAGGAGTGTTTGGACGGCTGAATAAAAAAAATGAGGGCACGTCAATGTAGCTGTGTTTTTGCAGTCTAAAGTTTGGAATTTTTCGGATACGCAATAAGCCTAGGAGCGATTACACCCATCACGGATCAGGTAGACACCCAAAGATGCCACAGATAATCGAAGTTTGACGACACACTTATCTGTAACACATTTTCAACCTAAGTGGGCCGACTCATTCAAATCGGGAGTCATAAATGTAGAGGTTCGAAGATATGATTTAAAGGCTATAGATTTATCAGGAAGCGTTTAGTCTAGGCTGGGCAGTGGTTGCAAAACCTGTGTAGCATGGCATACCCACCCGTGATCTGGCACGAGTGAGTGGACGAGAGCGTTCACTAGGTGTGTCGAGCAAAACAGATAAGGTCAACATCAACGTCGATAACTTACACAACTTATTTTGGGGGGTTATTCAGTACTATTGTACTGTTCCACGATCTCAGTAAAATCTTACTGCAACCACCACCCTGGCCTCTTCGAAATAGGGAACAACGTGTAAATTTAAGCAATAAATACTCTCAGAAAGGACCATTGGTCTTTAGTTAAATATGAAACCACTAACGGAAACGATAGGGTGCACCATCATTATCTAAGTTTCACAACTTTGAAAGCCTATTCACTTAAACTTCACATGCCTTTCTGGTTGGTCTGTCATGCTATACTTTTAGGTGATTTATTTGTTAGTTTCGCTTCAGCCTCTATAAATACGGTACTTCAACAAATATAAAGCAACGAATACATTAAGTTATGAAAGGAACAATTGTTAAGATCCTCATATGAACTGAAGTACTGTGAAGTATAATTATTGTAAATCAACGTTAAAATGAAGATTTCAATCGAATTTCCCAAGTAAAACAAAATGTATGGGGATTTCCCGAAGTGTTTGACAGAAACATATAATTGTACTTAATAGTATGACTTCAAAGTTGCCTAGTATGCATAATACATCAACCCTATATAGCGGAATCAAGCGAAGATTGCTTTATTATTATTAACCATAACAATTTCAAGTAATTTGTTGCTGTGTCAACTATAGTCTCAAATTGATTTCCCCTATTTCCCCCATTTTTGTTTTAAGTTGGATGTGTGCCAATCACTTCAGGAACGGTATATTTCGGTTGGCTCGGCTATACTAAAATATACGTCAAATATTTAATCAGAACCTTCTTTATATCCCTCATAAATCTTTCATACTGCTTCTGACTTCTCAAATAATTCGTTCCAAGCCCATAAAATGACGGTTGATGGTTGATTTATTTTCTCATAATTTCGTAACCTGTTATTCTGATAGGCTGAATGTCCTGAAAGTCCTTTCAAAGTTCTGTATTCAACGGTTGTCTTTTCTTGGGGTCACTACGGTCGAATTATAGGTGTTTGACTAACGTATTCATGACTGTCTATCTCTACCGGTGAAAACTCACATTGGTCTTCCAGGCTTTCGGTTTGGGTTGACTATGAAATGTGGTATATGACCAATATATGAATACAATCTGAACGACTTAAAATAATGGGCACAACACGAGTATTTCTCAATATAAAAAACATCCATGCCAGACATAATCAGAAAATTTCCTTTCACGACTAAGCAAAAAACGTTGATAATGTGCAGCACATAAATTAAATTTGTGCACAAAATAGGGCTCCTCAATTCCATGCTGGTGAGTACCCTTCGTTTTACAGATATAATAAACTGGAGTGATAGTGAATAGGTATTTATGTAGATCGTAGACTGTCCGGTAGATCGCGAGGTTATCTTTTCAAGCACACAAAGCTTTTCAACATACAATACAAAATAATAGGAAAGACAATGCATATAAAAAATAAGGAAATGAATGAATACTTGAGTTATAATGATCAGAAATTTACTTACATGTTCGTGCTCGACCCTTAACCAATCAACCTAAGTTGTTGTAACTGTCCAACTAGTGATACCCTATATAGACGTCTCACCATTGACTAAACTGAGCCGTCCTTTCGTGACAGTAGGTGGTTGTGGATAAGGTCGTCTGGAGAGAAAATCTGGGCTGTAAGAGATAATATATATAATATGAAAAGGAAAGAGTTGCGTGATACTACCACGACTGAGTAGCCGAGCCATGTCATACTGACTAAGTGTTCCCGCGCTCACCATTTCTGACTTCTCCCTGCCAAATTTTGTATGTGAATTGTGGTGTTTGAATTGACTAATGATACTTTTGTACATGTTGATTGCACAATTTCGAATTCCAAATACAGTACATTCGTTTGTGCTTATGACTTCTTAATCCAATTGCATTATTTCTGGGACTCTTAGTTAGTACTATAATTTAAATAATTCGAAACATTATACTGGCGTCGCGATTGAGCCTGCAATGGAAAAGTTAGACATTCATTCAACTTCTGAAGCTTTTGAGGATTGTTTCGAAAGGTTCGAAATCTGGATCATGACCAAGGAAGATGATGAGGATGCTAATATTGTGGCATATTTCCTCACATTCATCGGTAAAGAAGCATACAGTTTATTAAAAACTCTGGCTATGCCGGAAAAGACCATTTCGCTTCCTTATATAACTCTCGAGGAATTACTACTGGACCATGTCAAGTATGCAAATTTGGATTGCAGTAAAGAAGGAAAATTTCCTAAAATGATTCATCAGGACATCAAAAATTCTACTACATCACGTTATCCTAATCCAGTGTATACTCAAGGTTATGCAGATAATTCATTGAGGAGTTGCAGTGCGTTTCACGAAGATTGGCGCAAGTTTGGTCAATGTTTGTCCTATGGCAAGTTCCATGCTTTTAATTCATGTAAATTTCGTAATTCTAAATGCTTTAAATGTGATGATATTGGATATATTCAGTCAGTCTGTAATACTAATGTTCATGTCATTACAACTAATATTCAGTCTTGTAATTCTGATTCTACTGAGTCGAGTATTTATAATGATGATTTATCTTTATCAACTTTCGCAATAGACAGTGTAGAGTCACAAAGCGGTTCAGAGGTAAATCAAGTTCAGAATTCTTGCGAAACAACAGTGTAAGATCCATTTTGAATGCTTTGTGTGTTCGTGAAAATCCCTCCATGTATATACTTGCACTTTGTTCCTATTGATTCTTTTAGTCGTACAATGTTAACTTTTTGACTACAGTTGAATTGTTAATATTTGTATTTTATTATAGTTTTTGTTTTTACCACACCTTCACTAATTCCCTATGCTTCTTCCCGAACTGCACTTATGTTGTTTTACTTTATACTAAGTCTTGGCGGCAGCCATTTTGGTTTGTTCCTGTTTGTGATTGCTTGACCTGCGTTGACTGGGACTGTGCATTTTTGTTGTGAATTGAAGCACTCTTCCAGAATTGAAAACACTCTGGGTTATAGAGCGACCAAGTATTACCTTTTGAACGAATCTGTACGTGATCTATCCAGACAGGATAGAATAACATTTATTTGTGGTGATTGGTAATTTTCTTGCATCCTTTATCAACGTTCTTATTTATTATAGTTTAGAGTTGATCAATTAAACAATTATTGGTTGGATAGCTGAGTGGTTATATTTGTTTAGGTAATAATGTACACTTAAATTTATGATAAATTATAGAACCGCTATCTTACCCAATTACTTTGTTTTGGTTTCAATCGGGCGAGGGCGCGTATCTAACTCATCCAGACAGCTGTCCAGCAGTCCAAACGTAGTTTGGATCTTACAGTTCTAAACAAATATTTGGTCGAATTCGTTTGGCTTTCGTTTCGTTGATTCCAATCATCGTCTCTGGGAATATCTGGTCGTTCGCTTCCGATGCCAAACAATCGTCGAAGGAAATTAAGTCCAAGGCTTGTGGATGTTAAAAGAGATGAACAAAAGGATGGATCCCCTCAATCAAAGCAAGTGCCTTCTGATGCTTCTATGTGTCATGGTTCATATTCTAATAGGGACGATTGTAATTATAGTGAATCTAGTTGTGATATAATGTCAGATGGCATAGAAAACCTTAATTTAGACGTGAAGCAAGCAAAAGACGTAAGGCCGTCGGCGTTTTTCATAGGTCCAGAGTTACCAAAGGTTGAGTTAAGTTATTTCGACGGTCAACCAAGAGGTTACTGGAAGTTTTTAAGGGAGTTTGAGACCTATGTGGAATCAAGGGTCAAGGATGATGGTCAACGCTTGCTTTATTTGATACATTATTGTAAGGGTAAAGCGAAAACAGCCATTGAGGGTTGTGTTATGTTGGAAGCCTCTTTTGGTTACAAAAAGGCCAAAGAAATTCTAAAACGGTTGTTCGGACAGGCGCATGTAATCGCTCGGGAGACTTTAGAGGACTTATTCAAAACTACAAATGTTGATTACAGTGATCCTGAGCAACTAACAAATCTAGCTATTAGGATGGAAAATTGTTCTATGGTTTTGAAACAGATGAAGTATACTGCCGACTTAAATTCTTTAATTACCTTAGAGAGAATAGTAGGACTCTTACCTCAAGTTATGCAAGCCCAATGGGCGGACTGGGTAGATGAATTGACTGAAGATAATAGAGAACCGACCTTTGACGAGCTTACACAATTTATAGCATCCCGCGCGAGGGTAGCTAATAGTAGGTTTGGACGGTTAGCGAATCGTCCGAGAAAGGGACACAACGTAAAGACAAATTGTCACTTGCAATTGGAGCAGGCGAATAATTCGAAAGAGAAAGCTAAATGCAGTGTGTGTTCCCTAGACCATGCTATTTATAAATGTCCAAAATTTTTAGCGCTTACCGTTCAAGAGAGATGGTCTCACGCGAAGGTTAATGGCATCTGTTTTGTCTGCCTCAGGCAAGGGCATAAAGTTAGTGAATGTAAGCTGGCAAAACGTTGTAACGTTGAGGGTTGTGAAAGGAAACACCATTCTTTGTTACACAGCGAGAGTGAGAAACCTGGTACCTCGAGTTGTTGCGGATATACTAAATCACTAATCAGTCAAGTGTGTTTAGGCATGATTCCCGTACGGTTGAAATCGCGAAAAGCCGAGATTGTGGGTTACGCTCTGTTGGACAACGGTTCTGATGTAACACTGATAAAATCAAACTGTTTGAGGTCTCTCGGGCTGAGCGAAGACGAAGCATCAGTGGTAGTTGAGACTGTGGGCGGTATTAGAACAATGAAGGTCACGAGTGCGCCTTTTGAGGTACATTCTTTAGATCAATCTGAACATGTTACTATTGAAGGAGCTCTGGTTGTAGCGAGTATACCAGGTCATAAGCCAACAAAATCAGCAATGAACAACCTAGTTAAGTGGCCGCATTTAAGTGATGTGCCAATAGATAGCCTAGACTCTGAAGAAGTTTTACTGTTGATTGGTTGTGACGTACCAGAAGCACATTGGGTGTTAGACCAACGGTTGGGTGGAAGGAAGAACCCGTACGCTGTGAAAACGTTGCTGGGGTGGACGGTTTTCGGACCCGCGTCATATTCGGAACATAGGAAAAGAGTTGTTAATCATACCAGTAAATTACAGACTTTGGAGAACGAAATACGTAAACTTTACGATGTAGAGTTTTCTGATGTTTATTCAAATGATAAATCAGTATCACTAGAAGATAGTGCAGCTATAAGGATTGTGGAAGAGGGCACACGCTTTGAAAATGGTCATTTTGTAGTTCCTATACCATGGAAAGTGAACCCAAATATGAAAGGGGGGAACTATGAAGTGGCAAGCAGTAGACTACAGAGTTTGAAGCGTAGATTGTTGAAGGATGACATTCTGTATATCAAGTATACGAAAGGTATTGAAAGTAATTTTATTAAGGGCTATGCGGAGAAGATCCCTGAAATGCAATTGCAACCTAGTTATCGCCCCCGGTGGTACTTACCTCATCATGCAGTTATAAACCCGAAAAAGCCAGAAAAACTGAGAGTGGTCCTAGACTGTGCCGCCAAATTTGCAGGCGTTTCTCTAAATGATATGATTTATCAAGGACCCGACACAACTGCTGAGTTAGTGTGTATATTATTGCGTTTTCGCAAAGAAGCAGTCGCAATCTCTGCGGATGTTGAAGAAATGTTCATGCAAGTGAAGGTCCCTGAGTCTGATCGAGGAGCTTTAAGATTTCTGTGGTGGCAGGAGGGAGATATGTCGAGAGAACCTTCCGAGTTTCAAATGACATCTCATCCATTTGGTGCCATATCTTCGCCGTTTTGCGCGAACTTTGCCTTGAATAAGACGGCCCAAATATTCTCTGATGGTTATGATGGCTATGTCGTAGATGCTGTTAAAAATAATTTCTATGTTGATGATTGCTTGATATCCTTTTCTACTTGTGACCAAGCAAAGAGTTTCGTTAAGCAGATAAGTGAATTATTATGTAGAGGAGGCTTCAAACTAAAGAAATGGGTTACCAACTCGGAGGAGGTAAGGACCATCTTGCCTGATGTATGTAAAGAGCAGTCCTTGATAGAAATGTCAACGAGTTACGACACTACTCATCGAACCCTAGGTGTAGAATGGGATTTTAAACAAGATGTATTTAAGTTTTACTTTGATACACCGGAAAGGCCTCTGACTAGGAGAGGTATTCTATCTATAGTTTCTTCTCTGTTCGATCCTCTGGGTCTAATTGCTCCAGTCTGTCTTACTGCCAAACTGCTCTTGCAAAAATTATGTAAGTCCCAAATAGGCTGGGATCAGCCTCTGAACGAGCCATACATATCCGCATGGCTAAGCTGGGTAAATTTTATGCGTCAGATAGGTCACGTCACGATAGCTCGAGGTATCAAGAGGAGAATCGACGAACCCGACGCGAAAGTGGAATTGCACTTGTTCAGTGATGCTTCAGAGGTTGGTTATGGAGCAGTTGCTTACGCACGAGTCAGTTATTTGAAGGAACCACCATATTGTATCTTGTTGTACAGCAAGTCTAGGGTAGCACCTATCAGACAAGTCACTATACCGAGACTTGAGATGGCGGCAGCGGTGTTAAGTGTGAGGCTTAGTGAAGTATTACGGAGAAGTCTGCCTAATTTTTTCTGCAAAGTAAACTTCCATACAGATTCCATGATAGTGTTATACTACATTAAGAATGTCGAGAACCGATATAGCACCTATATAGCCAACCGCCTCGCCGTGGTTCACCAGTATACGAAGGTTGAACAATGGAATTATGTAAAGTCGTCACACAATCCAGCTGATTGGACTTCAAGAGGTATACAAAAAATGACTGATCTGGAATCTTGGTTCAAATGTCCTACCTTACTGCATGGCGAGTTCTGTACAACAATCACGGACTGTCCGGAACCTACTCCTGACGATATTGAGTTTAGAAAAACCGCTGTGGTTAACTTGGGTAGTGTAAAGCACAACATGTCACCTATTCTCTCTTATTACTCCGAGTGGTTGAAATTAGTCAGGGCCGTAGCCTGGCTTAGAAGGTTCATAGAATTCCTGATGGTGCTTCGTTCACCGAGTCATGAAGGATCCGTTCATCTAGGATGTTTAAAGGTCAAAGAACTTGACATCGCCAAGCGTAAAATTTTATTGATGGTTCAGAAAGAAGTGTATGGAGAAATATTTAGTGGATTTAAAAACGATAGTAAAGTAGTTAGTCACAATGATCTGAAGGGCTTATCACCGATAATGCTTGATGGGTTACTCTGCGTTGGAGGTCGACTAAGCTACTCAGATTTCTCAAATGCCTTCAAACATCCAATAATATTGCCCAGTCGACATTTAGTGACAGAAATGATAATTAGACATTATCATAAGGAACAAGGTCACACAGGAACGTCACAAGTGCTAGCCACGATTCGGAAAAGTTATTGGATAATAAAAGGGACCAGCACGGTTAAGAGAGTGATAGGAAAGTGTGTGATCTGCCGGCGGTATACGATGGTTACAGGGCAACAATTGATGGCACCACTTCCAGCTTGTAGAGTGCAACAAGGATGGTATAGCTTCTCGGCCGTGGGAGTAGATTACTTTGGACCCCTTTTTGTCAAAAGAGGAAGATCATTAGAAAAAAGATATGGATGTGTATTTACTTGCTTGCAAACCCGAGCAGTACATATTGAAATGACACATAGTTTGAATACTGATTCGTTTATAATGGCCTTGTTACGTTTTATTGGAAGAAGAGGGAAACCTGCCGAAATCTACAGTGACAATGGGTCAAATTTCGTGGGTGCGGTCTCTGAGTTAAGGAGATTTGTGCAACAGTTGAATCAACAGAAAATAGACAAAGAACTGTCAGCTAGGCAGATTCAGTGGCATTTTAACCCGCCCTCAGCCAGCCACAGGGGTGGGGTTTGGGAAAGGATGATTAGGTCCATACGCCGACTGTTATTGCTGATAACTAGAGAGCAGACTCTAACCGATGAGACTTTAAACACTTATTTGATTGAGATTGAAAGGATATTGAACGATCGACCCTTAACTCCGGTCGTTCAAGATGCTAACGATAAACTAGCTTTGTCGCCAAACAGTTTGTTGTTATTGAGAGAATGTGACGGAATAGTCGAAGAAGGTAGCATCAGAGATAAATATGACAAACGTTGGAAACAGGTTAATCATCTTGCTAATGTGTTTTGGAAAAGGTGGTTAAGAGAGTATTTACCATCCCTACAAAAACGTCAAAAGTGGTTAGTTGAACACCGCAATTTTCAGAAAGGGGATGTAGTGATCGTGGCTTCGGACATATCGACGCGTGGAAAATGGCCCTTAGGAGTAGTTGAAGATTGTGAAATAGATGACGACGGAAGAGTTAGAACAGTGGTTGTTCGTACGAACGGTGGATTAGTCAGGAGAGATATACGTAGATTATGCCTCCTTGAAGGCTCGAATTAGTTCCTCGTATTATCAATGTAGGTAGGTCGAGTAGGCGTACTGTTGTAAGTCCTATTCATTCCTATAGTGTCATCTGCTACATAATGAACCATGACCATAGGCGTCAAGGTAGCTTGTGTGATATGGAGGGATTTTGGGGGCCGGTGTAAGATCCATTTTGAATGCTTTGTGTGTTCGTGAAAATCCCTCCATGTATATACTTGCACTTTGTTCCTATTGATTCTTTTAGTCGTACAATGTTAACTTTTTGACTACAGTTGAATTGTTAATATTTGTATTTTATTATAGTTTTTGTTTTTACCACACCTTCACTAATTCCCTATGCTTCTTCCCGAACTGCACTTATGTTGTTTTACTTTATACTAAGTCTTGGCGGCAGCCATTTTGGTTTGTTCCTGTTTGTGATTGCTTGACCTGCGTTGACTGGGACTGTGCATTTTTGTTGTGAATTGAAGCACTCTTCCAGAATTGAAAACACTCTGGGTTATAGAGCGACCAAGTATTACCTTTTGAACGAATCTGTACGTGATCTATCCAGACAGGATAGAATAACATTTATTTGTGGTGATTGGTAATTTTCTTGCATCCTTTATCAACGTTCTTATTTATTATAGTTTAGAGTTGATCAATTAAACAATTATTGGTTGGATAGCTGAGTGGTTATATTTGTTTAGGTAATAATGTACACTTAAATTTATGATAAATTATAGAACCGCTATCTTACCCAATTACTTTGTTTTGGTTTCAATCGGGCGAGGGCGCGTATCTAACTCATCCAGACAGCTGTCCAGCAGTCCAAACGTAGTTTGGATCTTACAAACAGTTTCTCACCAATCGATTTATCAGAATTCTCATGCTATTGTACCAGGTATGGTTTTTCCTAATGATTCACATATTTCCGATGAAATTCCTTGCAAATCTGAAGAAAATATGTTGAGTGAACATATATATGATCAAAAACCTGATGTAGTTTTGATAGATGCTAACTTTTCTGATGGTGCACTACTCTGCAATGACATTCTTAATGAATTTCATGAGAATATTTTAGAAGAATCAAATCCTTATGTTATATCATATGTTACCTGTCCTTATAATGCATATGATCCTTGTGAAAAACCTGTTCATTGCGAAGCACGAGTATTAAGTGAGCTCAATTTTGATTACAATTCGGATGATTTCATACCAACTGCTGTTCATCCTTATCACAAATCCACTTATAATGTATACTCTAGTCAATATGTTTTAAATGAAGTCACATTATTCATAACTTGGGGATATAAAGATCCAACATTATTTCGTGGGGGAGGATAGTGTTGAAAAATATATGGTTTCAATTCTAGATATTAATGATTTCGGTACAAAACCGACATGCTGATTGTATACAATTCCAGGTTAGTCTGTTCCGATTCCGTTTGTTAATTCTAATACTAATGAGTGTATTCTAGATAATACAGAGTTTTTATCCAATACAATGTCGGACAGACTCAGGATGAAGTTAACAAGAAGACATACAACCGATTACAAACACTTATGCTTCTATTTAAGCTGTGGCGGATGTGGTGTTTGAATTGACTAATGATACTTTTATACATGTTGATTGCACAACTTCGAATTCCAAATACAGTACATTCGTTTGTGCTTGTGACTTCTTGATCCACTTGCATTATTTCCGGGACTCTTAGTTAGTGCTATAATTCAAATAATTCGAAACATTATAGAATCTTCTCAGTTATCGTATGTCTGGCTTCGAGGTTCATGTGGTTGAGAACCAACAGCACAATATTTTCGTACTACAGAGGTTTTTGACTATATATTAGGTTAGCTGCACTGCTGAGGAATTTTATGTTTTTTGATGCAACTTCACATAGTAGCGCTTTCCTGATTGAGCAGAACGATTGTGTTTTAATATAATGATTGAGAGAGATGGAGATCCGAAGAAGCGTCACACCATATACAGAACGACGTGGTTTGGTGTAATCGAATAAACCTTGGATTTGTGGGGTTGTTTTTACTTTCAGACCAAACAGTTGAAGTCTGGTCATTGGAGTTATTATGACATTCTTGTCGTAATTTTATTCAGGTGTTTAATGTTTTTGTTTCTGGACGATCCTGCTGAAAGCATTGATCTGGAATTTCCTGGTTCATTTTCTCTGTGAATTCAGTAACGCATATACTTGCTATATTTACCGTAGTTGATTATGAATGGTGCTGCATTTTCAAATTACGGACTTTTGCCGTTTATATTTGCTTCCATTAACTGACATACACCATGTACACCTTGTTTTGTATGGTTTTCATAAGCATAATCGGGGTTTGTTCATCAGATGTTTAAGTGTAAATTTAGCAATTTTGGCGACTTTGTATGTTCACCACATTTTTGGTTTGCATGAGATTAGCATCAGTCGATTCGCCTGTGTGTTTTGTTTTCTAGTTCCTGTTCTGGTCTTATACACTTTATTACCATCTCTTATGAGCCTATTTTGCCTCATCACTTGAATTTGGTGGCCACCATAGCGAGTGTCTATTTTTGATTTTTACTCTTTGGCTGACTGATTAAACTATCCTTAGAGTATTTAAGTCACGATCCCAGTATGATAGAGAGGTGCAAATAAATAAGTAAACATTTTTGAGGAATTTAACAACTTATTCACCTGATCCACTTTAAATTTGATGAAACTCACGTTTTTTGATTAACTGATTAGAATCTTACTCAACTCAACCTGCCTGTTTTGAACTCACTAGTGGGAAGAGACAAGTATTTAGCTTCTCTCTGCAAGTTAGATAGAACCCCAGCCATAAAGGTTTTGGAATTACATGAAATGCATGATTAGGTCCAGTTATAATGCTAACCTTGGATTGAAAACTTGTAAGTTGGGGCTGTAGTGTGTCCCTTATTCCTTAGGTGTCTTTGAATTTACTGCTTTATAGGTTGTCCAAAAAACTTTATTAAAGTCTTCCAGGCGATCACTTGATGTCCCCTTAAGGATTCAAAGCAACACTTTATTCTATTTCAATGGGACTAGTTTTATTCCCTCTGATTTTGATATACTTTGGACCATAAGTAGAGACACTAGTGATATAATGGCACTAAACCCAAGCTTATTCTATTTCGCCACAGATATTTAAATAACAGCTTGGGTTTAGATCGAACAGTTGTTAAGACTAAGTAGGAGCATAGCAACCAAAGGTAGGTGGCCATGAGTTAATGGAAAACCTGGTGTTGGAATGAAGACATCAGTATCCAAATACCGAATTATCTCCAGTCTCATTTTGTGTAGGGATCATACTTCCTATGTTTCTCGATTGAATGGTGAAGTATTATATGTATCAGGTCACAGCCGACCCAATGCACTTGTTTCTACAGTAGTGTATTAAACTTTGTGATCAAATGGTCGAAGCTTTTTTCTGACCTCATGGCTTAAACAAGCAGTAAAGGTATATGTGTAAAGGTATAAGTGAACTGAATAAAGTGTTGACATCCAACTATTTAAGGTCAGAGGAACAAAGTAATCTTTTGAAATTTGGTTACAAGAAGTGGGACGGAACAATAGGATATATTTTGGTGTGTGTGTGTGTGTAAGCGTTAAGGCCTTTATATGGATACATTTAATTTGATAATAGTTTTTAATTCCTACCTACCCTTCACTACTTTTTTCATTCACATATATCACGTTTATTTGTAGGTCAATTAATGTTATGTTTGTTATTTCATCTAGCACTTCGGTTTCAGTACGATTTCTTTTAATTTATTTGAATCCCTACTATGGTAATTTTATCTTATTTAACATCCGTAATCGACAACTGGCATCTTGATTGCTAGTCTATGAATTTGCCAACGAAACATCGGGTATTTAATTTACTTGCTGCACGCATTTTCATTTCGTGATTTTCACATCATAACGACACGTCATTATCTTGGGTTGTATCCGACTATTTGAAAATATTATTATTACCTGATATAATGGTGGACTTGCTTTATAAACTTGTTGAGCACATGAACGTCAGTAATTTAGAAACCATTCTTACATAACGCATTGATATTCTTTTAGAGTTCTTTTTAAATTATTTCTACCCGTTTACTTTTGCTAAACGTTAGTAATGGTAATATATTTTGCATTTTAGCCCATCATGGTACAAAACCGTTTGGGTATTCGCATAAATTGTATATATCGTGTTCATTTCTGTGGTAAATAGCATTCTAGTGAAGAGAACACTGGTGGGGACAATCGAATGTATTTAACACAAAATTACAGGACTTGTTGATAAAATTTAACAATCATAAAGTAAATGCTTAATTTGCAAAATGTCTGTAGTGACTCACGTTTATTACGAGAACACGACTGGTTCAATAAAAACAATTATTATAAACAGTTGTACCAGTGTTTATTTTAATGTGCTTTTGTTTGACTGTGCTAATGACAGCTATATTGGGCTTCCATTCTTGTTCACACACTTCGATTGTAATTCCGCGCGAATTCGGTTACCTTCTGTAACCAAGCTTGTATCCTGGCACGATCTCGGTATCCTTTCGATACCACGAGATCGCCAGTGAATAAATCTTGACTTGGTCCATTTTCTGCCTTCTGATATTTGGCTTCTCGGGGTTTTTATGGAGTCATTTGGAACGAGCTTTTTGGTAGCGGTGTACATAGTCAGTCTCGACTCGACGCCACGCTACAATTGGTGATCCCAAAGTTTGGAACACGCCTCAACCTCTGGTGAAATCTTCCAAAGAAGCCAGTTCGGTGAGTCTATTATTTATCTATCCACGTCTGTCGTATATTTTCATATTATCTTTTAATACATAATATACTCGACATGACGGATAACGATAAGAATAGTATTAATATAATAGACTCCCACGTATTTGTACCGAATCCTTGTCACTTTTTATTCGCGTGACGGTAAATCCCACGCTTTATTCGATTCTCCTCGCTGACCCGGCTGCTTGGTACGGAATGCATACGCTTAAGCATATCCGTCTACCACCCAGCACCAAATGGTTAAGTTGAACGGTTTCACTGCCCACTTAAAAGTGCTCTACGAGCACACGAAAACGGCAACTGGCACGAAACCTTACCGCTCGTTATTTTAGGGATCGGAACGAGCTTAAAGGCAGATATCCAATGTTCCGCCGCTGAACTTGTATACGGCACGACATTGCGTCTGCCCGGAGAATCCTTCACACCACGGAGCAGACCTGATTTCGGTAAATCAGACTACGTCCATCGACTGTCTGCATTTATGCGAACGCCGTCTCCGGTGTCAACTCGAATACAACATCGACAGGTCGCTCTCCCTCGAGATTTATCTACCTGTTCACATGTTTTCGTACGAGTAGATTCGGTACGCAAACCTTGGCAACAACCTTACGAAGGCTCTTTTCACGTGATCGCTCGTCACGAAAAGACCTTCAAGGTTGATCGATATGGACGCGTCGAGATCGTCAGCATTGATCGTCTCAAATCAGCACACGTCGATGACAGTGCCCTATCTGATACCCTGAGATTCAATTTTAGACCTATCAAACTTAGCGGGATCCTCAAACCATCTTCAGGTCCCACGCTAGATACACCTGAGACCTCATTCTCACGTCCCAGTCAACAGCACGCGTCATCTGCACCGTCTTCGGACGAGACAACAGTCTCACGTCCAGATCAGCAGTCCACGCCGCCTTTGACTTCGGATGAGATTGCAGGCCCACGCGACGCGAACGAGACTATCGTCTCACGTTCCGGTCGCCGAGTACGGTTACCCGTACGCTTTCGTGACTAGCCGCACAGTCAACAACCGATACGGTGTAGGATTATTCCTATACTACACGCATGCTACACTCTTCTTTTTTTGATTTCTTTTTGTTTCCTGAGCCCACGCCTTCGACCATCTCCGTTTGGTTCCGTCGACTTCAGTCAACTTTGGCGAAAGCTGGACTGGCCACCCACGCTCTTGTCAACGCACTCAGTCGATATATTGGTTTCGAATGTTTGGCATACGTTTGGTCGTTGCGGTCGCTTTTGGCTCAACGTGGTTTCGTCCTACGTCTGCAGCGTTTCTGGTCCGCATTCCCTACGAACGCCATCTTCAGATTCTGGATACAAACCACTCGTGTAGCATGCCAACTCAAGCAACAAGTACAGCACATCGCTCCTGGTACCGTTCTCCGAAAACGACCTTCGTTGGCAACTCGACGATCAACGATCGCTTTCCTGTTCGCCAATCCGTTCGTCCTACAATCGCTTGTCAGCCGATCAGTCCCACGATTTAAACCGCTATTTATCGAAAGTGTAAACCCTTTCTAGCGGGGGGCTCCTGTAGTGACTCACGTTTATTACGAGAACACGACTGGTTCAATAAAAACAATTATTATAAACAGTTGTACCAGTGTTTATTTTAATGTGCTTTTGTTTGACTGTGCTAATGACAGCTATATTGGGCTTCCATTCTTGTTCACACACTTCGATTGTAATTCCGCGCGAATTCGGTTACCTTCTGTAACCAAGCTTGTATCCTGGCACGATCTCGGTATCCTTTCGATACCACGAGATCGCCAGTGAATAAATCTTGACTTGGTCCATTTTCTGCCTTCTGATATTTGGCTTCTCGGGGTTTTTATGGAGTCATTTGGAACGAGCTTTTTG